GACCCCAATAGGAATAAGCGCCATTGAAAATGAATGGATGGCCGTTGGTTAAGGCAAGTCATTTTCCAGAAATGATATCAAAGAACCCATTTCCAGGTGGACCCAATGGTTCGGAATAAACTTGTGATGAACACCTGAGCTTGTCAGAGGTTATTTTTAGACAGTCATTGCCCCTTTCTTTACAGCCTGGTAAACAAAAGATGACTCCAGAGCCATTATCTGGTTATGATTGTTAGTGTGAAAGTCTTTTCCGGGTAACACTGGCTAAGCTCTGTGTCGTTCATTGCCTCAGCCTTGTCGTTGCTGAAATAGCTAATTAGTTTACTAACCGACAGCTTCGCAATGTTTGATCAATGGTGGCCTCATTTGACCTATTGATGTACTGTTGGTATCCAGTAAACACACAAGCAGGATTGACTGCGCTTTCCCCGCCCCCACTCAAGAGAGCATGTGATCCCCGATAAATATAATCAAACAGGAAGTCGTTTGTGTGCTGGTCTTGCATATTGTCGTGATGATCCAGTAGTCTAAATACCGAACAATTGTGCTGTGTTGAGACAAAATAGCTAGCGTCAGCCTGCTTATTGGGCAGGAGAATCTTTTGATATTTATCAATTCAGTGCATCATGAGGAAAAAGTCCTGTTCAATGCTATCCTGTTCTTTTTTAATGGTGTTAAACTATGTCATTTATTATCGTTTATGTTTTTGACATGTTGGTCATCTTGAAATTTGAAACAGGTACCGGCTTGTGCCATTTTGGGAACATGGCCGCATTGAGGCCAAGGTGAATATGTGAGTATGAATGACTAATCTAAATATGTCAGATTACATTAACAATCCGCAGCAACATCCCTAAACCACAAAAACAACTGACATGGGTAAAAGCAGACTGCAATTGGAAAAGTAACAGACACAATTGATCGATTTGTAGAAATAAAATCTCACAGCTTGTCAACACGATGATGAGTGATTTCATTGCAAGTTACTCTTCCATTTACAAACGCTGTGACCGGCCAGCTCTGTCAACTTTGACAAGCCAAAAACACCCCCCAAACAAACAAACAAACAAACAAACAAGTAACATTCAAAAAAGCAGAAACATTATGGGGACAAATAGTACAGACATTAACAGGGAAAAAAAGACAGGCCATTGTCTGCTAATAGATCATCATAGAAGATCTAAACTCCACAAAAACCGAAATGACCCACTTTTTCAAACACCTTCTATTACAACTGTTGCTTTTCAACATTAACATCTGCTGTATGTCACCATGAATTAAATGTTGTCATAAAAGCAGCACGCTGTGCTGAATTCTTGTCTGTGTCACGTTAACAATAATTTCTGCCTCGGGATGTGCATGATCACACCGAGCATGTTTTATAAATGCCTTCATCTGGCAACATGGCTGCGCTTTCTTCATGGCTACTGCTCCTTCCTGCTCGATAAGCAAGCTCATCAACAGGACCGCCTTTGATCTTTCAGGCAAACAGGTGGCAAAGATTGTTACACATCATGGAGGAGGGTTTTCAAGCTCCATGTGTTTTCGATTTGGAATGCTACATTTGCTTGCATGGACACTCAGGTTTGGGAGGGACGCTGTAGATATTTCTGGTGACGCCTGCCCGCGCCACTGCTTGAAACACCTCCACCCACTCCTGCTCAGCTGTTTCAGGCAATTCCAGAGTAAGCAGCCATGTGCCACATTGACTTTATACTGCGTCGCCGGCCACAATAGAACAATATTTATGATGGCCTGTAAGGGATTCGTTTGGTCACAAATCATCAATCGGCAGCTTTGAAAAAAAATTGGAGTGAACGGTACTCTGAAATGATAAGTCCCCAAAAATAGTTCCTTTCTCGCGGTGACTCCTGAGCTGAGAGCAAAATATCAATATGCCAGAGCTGACTCTCACTCAGGGATTTCTGATATGAATAACTCCTGACTTGCAACAAACAAAATGCAGAGTATCCGGGGACTTCTTTCTGTCTGTCTCCTGCCTGATATTTGCTTGCCCATTTACTCTCTTACAGTGAAATGTCAGACTGTCTGTGACTTGCCCATAGCGGACATTACGTGCCATTCAGAGTGTCCTCCAAACATTTGCTCAACGAGCTTTGGGTGGGTCAGGAAACATCTGACAACGTACGGCTCCTAAGGGAGCGACTATCATCAGTTATCTTACAGGCTATTGATTCCTGTCTCGCCCAACGGCTGCACCGCACATGCCAAACAATGAGAGAAGCGTCAACCCTTGGCATTAGTTTGGACAAATGTTTTAAGAGTGTGGTTGGGTGGCGGCATCCGTGGAGAACCCCAGTTATGTGTAGCTTTGAGAGGGTTCTCTGAGAGGGAAACTCTGATGAGTGATGAAATGGCTTATCGGTGGAGTACATACAAACAAGCATCTAATGGACAGCTCCTTTTGCTTATCTTATCAGTCAGATAAAGCAATGGCTCCAATTGGATTTTGTTGTCACCCACGAGTGAAAACAAAGATAAAGTAGAGCCACGGATGCGGCAATTGTCCTGGAATCTAATCAAATTGTCGAGTAAAATGTTAGTCTAATTATGCTCTCTGCCTTTCCCTTCACAGCTTCTCGAGCCAAATATGGTGCATCACAGTGAAAACGTATTTGATGCATATCAGGTGCATACTCAAAGTTTGTATTTCATCAATTCTAATCCACTTTGAACTTCTTCCAGGGTCTCAAATACTCTTGCTCCACTCTTGGCAAAGACAGTTAGAGCAGATGCTTTTCTATGGAATCCTAGAAGTGAAACTGCTCAGATGAAGCCAACAATGTAAAACGGCAACGCATTCCATGAGGTCAGATTGGAAAGTCTGCTGTAAGCATGTACACTTAAAATAACAATGGCTTGTGTCTTCTGCTCTGCCGACAGATGAGTAGCATGATATTTGCAGCTATGTTCAGTCACGTTGACTTTAGCCTTCACTTGGAATAGCTGAGGCTACGTGGCCATTCAGGGGATAGGAGCCCATTGAATACAATAGCACTTTCCAGCTAAAAGACACATCTGACAACAACGCAATATAGCGTAACATTGTGTAACTTGAAGGAAAAGACATCCGCATGAAAACAACATTTGAAGCAGTGCAACTCCAGACATTAATGTAATTAGTGGTATTATTGTAGCTATCAGTGCTTTACAACACAGCCTTTAGCTAGCTTCGATCTAGCCAGATTAATGCTGCTTCTAAAGACACAGGCAATGCTGGCTCAGAGCCAGTTGACCACATGGTTAAGCCCCCGTCCAAGGAAGACAAAAGACATTCTTAAATCTTCACCGGCTCACTGCTCCCTCTGAAAATGTCAATTGTGCTCCAGCCATGACCTGTCAAAAGATTTATTTGGGAGAAACACTATCAAAAGTACGACCTAAACCCGCCATATCCTTAAGTTATACAGTAAGTATCCTGTAAATGGTGGGCCATTTTTTTGGCACATACTGTATGTTACTCTCCAGGCATAGCTGAATGTTGACACAGCAAGAAGCAAGCCATTCTCTTTCAACCCTTTTCTGTCTATCATCTCTTTGAACCACAGAATCATGTAAACTCACTCCCCTCACTAAAAGGTACAGGTTCCTGGGAAATGTATCTCACTTGTGTTTCACAACAAAATAGTGTTTAGAGTAGAAAAACAAATTCAAAAAAGCTGCACCGTAATTAGGATTAAATCATTTGTACACGTGAACGATCTCGAGAGGTTCTCATGTCTGTACTGATTGCTATTTTGGTCCGTCTCATGTCTCTCTAAACCTGTGTCCAAGGCTGAGGCAGAGAAATACAATTCATGCCAAACCGTGGTAAAGTTTGTACTGCTATGTATTCACTAGAAAGGTGAAGAGCGGTGTTTAAAATAGGCATAAACCAACTTTTGGCATTGTTTTACTCAGGGTACATAAACGCTATGTACAAACTACTTCATTTGGTAATTGCATTACGACAAAAACACGCTCACTTGTTGCTGATTTTCTTCCTTGGTCACAACTAAATCAGACTCGAAGGAAAAAAGGTCACGCAAACAACCCTGATTCCCAGAATGGCTGCACACGTACGACAGCAACAAGTGGCTCATTTCACGATGAGTCATTAAAAAACACGAGGCTACTGAGAAATTAAGTTTCCTGTAATATTTTGTCTTCTAAAGCGGTCGATGATACGTAATGTATGGACAGCTGTTTTAACGCCGCCCTCGCCTCCACAGGTTTGTGTGTATCACTTCCAGTTGCATGCTGATAAAACATCGATAACAGAACCAGTTCTGCTCAGCCGTTAGGTCGTGTCGCGCTTTGCAAGAGTTCACATAGGAGAGCGGAGAAAGGAGGGGGCAGAGGACACTGGCCTGACTCCTCCCGCGGACAGCCTGCTTTATTCAGCCGGCAGGAAAAAACCGTTATCTCGCATCACTACTTCGAACATCGCAACGGCCCCACAGCCACGCTAAATAGTTAACGGCGCGTCCGCAAATCATACTTAATTCACAAGTGCCGAAGCGTCCTTTGAACTAAAGCAACGAAAACTTTTCCCTAAAAGTAAACAAAAACGCGATGGGTGCACACGCTAGAAGTGATGACAGCGTTTATGTTCGTGCGATGCGAACGCGGTGATACACACACGGTGAATAAAACGAAACGGCAAACTGTGAGTAAATCGATGGCATAGTTGAACTGGTCATATAAAACCACCCGACCTGTGTACTTGGTATTCTCTTCGTAAATTTGACCAAAATGGCGACTATATGTGTCATATATTTGTCAAAACACAAGTCTTTTTTTCGGAGATACTCGTTCTCGTCGGTCTGGTATGAGTTTAGTCTTTAACGAACCTTCAAAGGCATGAGAGATCGCTTTTATATCCACCGCTGAACAGAATTCGAGACAACAGGGGCAGGAGTAAACTGTACTTAAGTGACGTGCTTCTTGGTGAGAAAAGGGAACAGATAAGAGCCTCCTGGATTGATTTTTGTACTTACAGTGAGTTGAGAGGAGAGTCAGGAGGTAAACCAGACGTGCTTTCGCCATCTTGGAGTCGATGCTATGCTCGCTTTGCCCAGCAGTACATGCGCAAAGTAGCCTAAACAGATTTGGCATCGGATTGACAGAGAGAGAGAGAGAGAGAGAGAGAGAGAGAGAGAGAGAGAGAGAGAGAGAGAGAGGGGGGGGGGGGAGAGAGAGCAGGGTGAGGAGAAGAGAGAGAGAGAGAGAGAGAGAGAGAGACAGAGAGAGAGAGAGACAGAGAGACAGAGAGACAGAGAGAGATGGGGCTGACCATAGGGAGGGTGTGAGATGTATTATAGTATGTTTCCATAGTTACCAGAAAGCATCCGTCAAGTTGCCAAGAATTTATAGTTGATACGACGTGGGAGGCTTTTTTTTTTAAACTACTGTGGCCTTATGCTGTCGTGCAGTTGCACCGTGGAGTGCGCAGAGCCCGAAGGGGGAAAAAAAAGGGGGGGGACTGGAACTTATCCTGACTGGGATTTCCAACACGCGCAACCCCTGACGCAGAAGAGTGTCTGCTATCTATCCAAAGACACGAAAATAAAGGGGAATGTAAATGCAAGTAAAACCGTACAGCCAAGTTACACAAATACAATACCATTATATAATGACATATATTAATAAATAGTACTGAATTAATTTGAATTTTCATATTATATTCATCAATTTATTTATATTTTTTTCAGAAGATTTTTTTTTTTTGTTTACTTTGATTTGCCAACTCTGCAACCAATTCGGGGTGTGCCGTGTCTACCGCACTAAGACAGCTGGGATGGGCTCCAGCAAGCCGGCAACCCTTATGAGGATAAGCGCTTTGGAAAATGGATGGATGGATGTGAACAGCAGTCATCAAACCCTCTGAATCATTGTGTTGGCAAAGTGGTAGCAGACTACCACTGCGTCGACACAGCAGCAGTATCACGTCAGACTATTTCCAGGATCAACAGACTGATAATATATTGCCAGAGGAATGAAGCAGGAATAACAACCAAACTACACACAACCTACCTCCTTCCTGTGGAGGAAGTAATTTTTTTTTTTTTCTTTTACAAAGCAACAAAGAATCAAGCTAACACTGTAAGAAACATTCCTTGTGACGTTTCTAAAAAAAAACAGCTGACCCTGTCGGGAATTTAAATAAGACTGTTTAAAGGTTGTTTAATGTTTGTTTCACACCCCTGTAGATCATCTGTGTCAAACATACGGCCCGCGGGCCGGAACCGGCCCCTCGAGGGGGTTCGGTCATTATAATATAGAATTATTAATTTTATAATGAAATTTAAAAATGAAAACATGCATAAAAGACATGGAATGACGATTTTTAATCAGATGAAATTCATGTATTATCCGTGAGGGGACACACTGTTTTCTCTTTAGTTTGTGAAAGTGTAAAGTAAGTAAAGTGTAGGCAGGGATTACATTTAGAGTTCATATGCACATGTGTAAATGGTTTAAAAAATCCTTTCTTTATAAATCTCATTTAATCTTAAAATGCATGACTATATTTTTCAATGCTAATTACTTGTTCAAGTTTTGTGCCTTTGTGCAATCAGTGGGATCAGTTGCAATGCATATATGTGAATGATCAAAGTAAATGGTACATTTGTCTAAGGAAACCTAAGGTGTTTCATGAAACGTTAGGTAAAAGATATGTTCATTAAATTTCAACATTTTCCTCATGTTCTTGTGCCTCTCTATACCAAAGCAAAGGAAAGACATGATATTTTGGTAATTAATAGCAGAGTATGGTAGAAATTTTAATGGTCCGGCCCACTTGACATCTACTGAGGCCGTATGCGGCCCACAATGTGAAATGAGTTCGACACCCCTGCCATCTCTGTGGAGGGACAAGCGGGCTCACTGTGCATGATCCCATATAATCGGGACACATTGCCTCAACGGTGGCAAGGCCGGCACCTTAACTAATCAAAAAAAGTTATTGTTTCAAACAAAAAAAGTTGTCGCGAACACAACACTAAGATACAGTATACGAGACAGTCAACAGCATGACGAGGAACAGTCAACAGCATGACGAGGAACAACAAGGGAACGTGCTGGGTGAGGCTGCGATGATGTGCAGCCATTCAGCTCACAGGATAAATTCACTCGTGCTCTCATTGGTTTTTGACCCAATCATGTGCCTTGTATGAGTGCCCGTGGCATGTCCAGTACAATACAGGCATGTGCAAAGCCTGAGTCACATCAGCTCTTTGTTCAGCATGCATGTTCAGCGGGTGTGTGGGGGCAAGAAACGACGCGTCTTTTCGCAATATGGCTGCCAACATGGCATTTTTATTTTTTGATTTATGTATTTATTCGGGTTTTTTTTTTTTTTGTTTAATGAATAAAGCCCACATAAAAATTATTTTGTGTTCGGTCGAGTCTTTCCACAGACCTGGCCACCGATTTACATTCATCCATCCATTATTTGATCCACTTATTCTCATGCTGGGGCCTATCCCAGCAGCAGGTGAGGTACACCCAGAACTGGGTTGCCAGTTCAGCCAATTGCCAATTGTCAATTGCAGGGCACACACAGCACGAGGAGAACATGCAAACTCCACACAGTCGGAAGGCCGGGGGCGGATTCAAACCCACGACCACTGCATTGCGAGACTGAGATGCTAACCAGTCGACTACCATGCGGCCCACCTTAAAACTTGTAATCAGTCATTTGGCCTATGTAAATGGGAAGTCAACCCCAAATTTTCTTGACAGTAATATACTCTATGCGCATCCACTGGTCAAAATCAGAATCAGAATCAGAACCATCTTTAATGGCCAAGTATGTAGAACACACAAGGAATTTGTCTCCGGCAGTACAGGCTGCACTAGTATCATCATAAACAAGTACATGACAAATAAGTGTGGAAGGACATTCCGTAATGTACTTGGGCAATCGATCGGGTATGAACCTTTGAGTTTTGTGTAGCAGTGATCTAGAATGTTGCCTTCTCTGGTGAAACAGTCAATGTCCTGCGTAGGGTCGCCAAAAAATGAAAGGAAAATGACAAAAACAAGGATAATATTAGGGAGCGCGTAACCGAGGCTGCCACACGTGTCGGCACCATGGTTAATAATAATAATAATAATAATAATAAACTAACAATAAAACACAGCATTAATATTGAGTTTGTTGCATATAAATTCAGCAGCAAAATCCACTTGTTAGAATGCATTGTTTGTCCATGGTGTCACCCCTCCCTTTTGTTTTATTCCCTTTTTCAGTGTGGACTGGGCGCCTCGCTAATTGGTGCACCTGCCTCCCTTACACACCTGTGAGTCTTCAGCTCATCAGCCACTTGCAGCATAAAAGCCAGCCGGAACAGCCACCCGTTGCCAGTTCGTCAGTGATCTTTCCTGACGCACTCGCTTCTGCCAAGCCATTACGCTCCTTCGTCCTGCACTCCTTGAGTTGGTCGCTTTCACTACCATTCGATTCCTGCCACTTCGACCTATCCCACTCCTGGCTAATAAATCCTTCTGAGTTCATTGTGTCTGCGTGTAGGTCCTGTGCTCATTTCTCACGAAGCCTAACACCACTCAGCTGCAGAAAACAGGTGAGCTGTGATTGTTCGTTACCTGAGCCCTGAGTAACTCTGAGGTAATTTCCAGTCGACAACATGTGGCAAAATGGCCTCCCTCTGAGATGATGAGTGGTGCAGAAGACTAATCTTCAATAATTTTACAAAAATTGTTTGATTGCAGTGGTTGCCTCAGGTTGTGCAACAAAATATTAAGTGAAAGACTTTCATTTAATTAAAAAAATTCTAATCAACCACGATTCCCCAAATTAATTGCTTTTCATTTGTTAATTATAATTATTATTATTATTATAGATTTTTTTTTTTAATTAACAGAGGGTTACCAACAATTTTGTCCATGTGTGTACTGTATGCACCTATTGGGCCAGCAATATCCATTTGGAAGTTTTGCAAAATAATTGTCATAATAATACTAATAATAACAGTATATGCTTTTTGAAATGCGCCCTTTTTTTAACTTTCAAATTAAATGGTCCCTTCTACTACAGGCCCCAGGTGTGTATTGCGGGCTCTCTATAAAACGATCACTTCACCATTTTTCATGGCCGTGATTTATAGTGGAGTTGAGGACCTCTCAGATTGGACTCTTCTGACAGGCACTATGCCGGATTCTGTTCAGAGCTCTCATGGCCTCATTCTCAAAGTCAGCATTCAAACTACCGGTACTGTAAAATCATTGAGTCCTTCCTCAATAGCGTAATCATTCTGGAAGTCTGCTTTGTAATATCAACAACAAAGATTTTACTCAAGAGATGCACCTAAACTCTCCCACCAAACAGTTAGTTGACACAAATTCCCTGTAGGACACGCAGCTTCACATATTTTCACAATAGGCGTCATCATCTCCAGCCATGCATGAAATACAGAGATGCATCCATCTGTCACTTTGTCAATATTCTCACTGTCATCTGAGATGGTTGCAATGTCCACCGCATACTTTAATACTGTGAAAATTGTCTGTTTAAAAATAGATTTACGTATCTCCAACTATGCTCACATGCATTTGTACTGTCCCGCACAATACACATAAATTTCTTGTTCAAGTAAGACCCTGAAATGAATCAGGTGCATTAATTTTAACATCAGTTCCATCCAAAGCCTTCTTAAATATACTCTAGTGTGTTTTTTAAACATCCGTGGATGACATTTGGATGTGGCACAAACCAAGCCACAGAAATGACAATAATTTTAAAAATACTGTATTATTGAAATCCTTCATCAATTGCTGATCTTTATTTTCATCCAGTGATAAAATGCAGGTATGGATTTGGCAAATATACGTTTTAGTTGACTTAAGCATATTAATTTCTTATCATGTTAACTGTGAATCAAACACACAACTGCTTATGGGTATGACAACCTGTATGTCTTGGATGAATGCAAATCTGAAGAATCTACAGCTCATTATAGCCCACATTTTTTTTTGTTTAACCCTTTGAGGGACAGCGGTTACTTCAGTGGACAGCTTCTCGTGTCAGTTACAGGTTATTATTATTGGTGCATGAAAGGTGAACATACTGTATTACTCCTATTTTCCTGAGTTCCCAAACACTTTATCTCATATTCCTGTTCAATATGCAATCTTCTGCGGCTTCCAGGTCCTATGGAGTACATATAAATGGTCTCTGAAGATTACTATGATATTATAAATAGCATTTACAAGCATTATAGTAACATTCGCTTTCCTAGTATTTCCTCTTGGACATGATTTATCGGTTGGTCTTACTTTGGAGAAGTACAGCTGTAAATAGGAACCAAGATAATATATTGATTTTCATATATGTATTTTTAAAAAAATAAACTCAATCAATGATGCAATACAGTAATTGTCTTATGGCATCATGGCAGATCATAGCGCTCTACATCCCATCAAATTGCTCTGATGTCAACCCTCAGCACAGTCTGTGCGTTTTTTTAAATTCCTTCACAGTTATCAAAAAGCATAATTTCTGGCCTTTACCTCTGCTTCAGCATAGTACAGGCCTAATTTTAATGTGCCTCAATTGTTTAATATCCTAGCGGAGTACTCTGCTTGGACACTATGTTAAAACTTGTTAAGTTTATGAAGCTACAGTGTTTTGTCTTTTGAGACAGAATCTGCCTTTATTACTCTTACGTGTTAGCACACAAAGAGTTTTTCCTTCATGTCGAAAGAAAATAGAATTACACCAAAGGGCTTTCATGTACTCTGCTCCCATGGGCCTTGGGGTAGAGTTGTACAATTGAAAATGCTTGTCCGTGTGTGCGTGTGTGTGTGTGTGTGTGTGTGTGTGTGTAAAATTATTATCAAGGATTTCAGGGGAGAGGCACTAAGAATGTGATTACTCTTTGGTAAGCTTTAATCTATTTCATCTGTTTGCTGTTGCTCACGTACAGTTAAAAAATTGCACCATGGCTTTTCGAGTGAGCACGTAAATGTATGTAAGTTGAAACTTGTCATGATGAATGTATGCAATTTTCTCAGTTGAGCTTTTTGTCATGGCTTAAAACATTTTTTGGAATTACAAATGTCAACACTCCATTTGTACTGACAATGAAAGACTAAAACAACAGATACATTTAGTTTTTAATTATGTGATTTGTGTACAGTGAGCAAGGTAGGCATTTGTTATTACAGCTTGAATATTTGATGTATGGAAAGTCTTTACACACGAGTTATCCATCCATGGATCAACCTGCCAGATGGCAATCGGCGATGGCATCCCAATGGATCTGAAATTCCAGCTTTGTCTGTTATTGCTGTCATGCCCGAGATAATCCTTCAACAGGACCAAACTACAACTAGTACAATTTCTGTTTATAAAGTGCATGATCAAATATGGAATATTTTTTTTCTTATCTTAATCACGCGCCATTCATTTGTTGGATGTGAAAACATGTACATGTATCATATAATGGCATCGTGCAAGCAAACCCTCAGGTAATTGTCGTGCGAAAATGGAAGTCAGCTAAAGGTCAGAGACTTGAATGCACATGCTGCAGGCATTTCTTGCGGCTGGACCAGCAGTATATTTTTTGACATGAAGGCAATGCTTGCACTGAATGCACAGTTTCTGAGCAAGAAATTAATATGATAATAATAAGCAGTGTTCCACAATTTCAGGAAAATCACGATCAAACTGAAACCATACATATCACTTGATTTTGCAATTTTAAATTTAAACTGGAATCAGCTTCAAACAGTCCCTTTTCATTTTATCAGCCTTTTGGGACATACAGTACTTCCTTTTGTATACAGTGAGTACATGTATATGTACTTACTATTATAATAATGGTCTGGGCATCTTTCTGAAAATGATACATGTGTTTAATCTGAGGCTATATCCTTGTTTAAACAGTTTACTGATTTTACACATTTTCCAGTAGAATGATCAAAACTAAAAGTGTTTCCAAACCCTAACTGAGTCAAGGCACCTCTTCTACATTAGAAACAGCTCACAGCAGACCAACTAACAAAAAATGCGAATGCTTTCAAAAAAATGTTGATCTTGTCAACATTTTCATACTAATTAACTCACTCAATGTCAAATCTTGGCCTGGTTTATAAATCACAAAGCTGATATACTCGGAGCAGGCCATGCCTTGATAAGCTGTTGTATGAATGGCAACAGTTTTGGTGTACTTTCTGCTGTCAAATGGAGAAGCATTTAATTGTTCTGCCTGACAATATACATTGCTGGCATAGGCAGATTATCAAGGATATACTCTATTTGGACAAATTATGTAAAACTGGAAAATTTCCTGCTGCACACTATTGTGCCAGGACACCCTGGCTGTCATGATCCAATTTTTGTTTGTCTCGAGCAGGTGGCAGAGGAGGGCTTTCCTTCCAGATTGCACATCTGCTCCAAGTTTGTTCATCAAATTAGCCGAGTATTTAAGGATTTCCGAAATGCCTGGTCTCTGATTATTGACCTTGTTGCTGCTCTTGCTCCAGTGTCGTTTTCTAGACCTCTCAATCTCATCATTTTCATTATTTGCTCTCTAGTCTCTTGCTTGTAAGCATTTAGATTGTCTTTTGATCATGCTCTTGTTTTTTTTTTTTGTTGTGAAATTTGACTCGAGTCATTTCGTTTATATTCTCAGATGTACTATTACCTTGCAGCAATTTCTGTTGATACTTTCTCATGGTACTTTTGTTGTTGGATAAATATTTTTTTGTACGGATTTTGTTTGTGTCTACGTTTGTAGGATCCGATCGCCATTCAGTTTGTCCCCAAACTCTGTCCCTGGCTCCGAACGACTGTGTAATTGATCGGTCTAATTGATTTGTAATAAGATAAGAAAACCTTTATTCGTCTCGCAATGGAGAAATTCCCAATTCACAGCAGCAAAGTTATGAATGGAAGAAGTAGAACAACTTAATGGACTTAATGACACCAAAACTGGAACCTGCAGGTTACCAACAATTCGTACAAATAGCATGCTATTTTCACAAGATCCATGGCTGCAAAAATGATCGTAAACCCTTCACTTTTTGGTGTTCATGCAATTTTATATTATATGCAATCTTATACTGAGCAGCAGACAGGACAGAGATGTGTGTACAGCTGCTACCATTTCCTTGGTCGTCATCTTATTTATCTGCATTGACATCACAGGTACCATTCTGTGGTTGCGGAAAACAAAATAAGGAACAATATACATTTGTGATGTTAATCCTTGATGGACTTTAATGAAATATTTTCCCCAAACATTGTCAACATTGACTTCCAGATGGTCTTTAGGGTCACTTTAAAAATTACAATGTATTCCAAATATGTGACTGCTGCATTCCCTTTGGTCGGTACAGTCGCCATATTTTTAGATTCGTTTTAGTAAAATAGAATGGTGTAAGCATGGGCGAGCTCTATTTTGAGTGTAGTTGAGTGAACAGGTACACTATGAGACATCTACACTGAACACGTACCTAATGCAGTTCGGTTATTTCCAAGGAACAATGTTGTTACGTCCCCCAGAGCACAGACAGATACAACACAGCTAAATTATGCACCGAATGCATCAAGGTTTCCACTTCGTGTGGTTGATGGAGAGAAATAGAACTTTGCAACACACAGACGCGCGCGCGCGCGCGCGCGCGCACACACACACACACACACACACACACACACCCTCTTGTTGTTTTCATTGTGTTCCTTGTGTCTTTTGAATTATTGAAGTGACTTGAGATGTATTGAATTCTCAGATTTACTTCCAGCACTAACATCCAAGAGCAGTTTGCCTCAGGCCTAAATTGGATTTGAAAATCTTTCTTTGCTTACCTGCTTCATTTGTGGCAATGTAGAATAACCCACCATCAATCCATTAGATTAGATTAGATATCCTTTATTTGTCCCACTATCAATCCATCTATATCAATCCAAAGACAGGCGTGTGTGCGTGCATGTGTGTGTGCGTGCGTACGTCTGTGTCTGTGTGTGTGTGTGTGTGTGTGTGTATCTATATCAATCCAAAGACAGACATGTGTGCGTGTGTGCGTGCATGTGTGTGTACGTGCGTGCGTACGTCCGTGTGTGTGTGTGTGTGTGCGTGTGCACGTGTGTGTGTGTGTGTGTGTGTGTGTGTGTGTGCGTGTGCGTGTGTGCGTGTGTGTGCGCGTGTGTGTGTGTGCACGTGTGTGTGCACGTGTGTGTGTGTACATCCATCCATCCGTTTTCAACACCACTGATCTTGAACAGGGTCATGGAGTACAGAAGAGGGGGGTGCTGGGGCCTATTCCAGCTGACGGAGTGCGAAAGGCGGACTACACCCTGAACCATTCGAACATTCGACATTCAATCCGGGGTATGTTGGTTGCGCGAGCATGAGCCTCGGGCACGGACCCCATCGGATGACCTCTGTTTGACCAGCCCTGTAGATTCTGAAGGGATTACATTGACCTGGTAACTCATAGAAACTGAAATCTGATTGGACAAAAAAAAAAAAAGTAAAATACACACTGCTGGAGGGTGGGCAGCCACCAGAGAAACTTTGAAATGAATATATACTTGAATATCTGAAAACAGTTTCATCTAAGTCGTACATGTAGGCCAGTGCTTCTGGAAGACCACAATTTCATAGGAAAGCCAAAGTCACGTCACTGGCCCTCATTGTTCAAATTGTACTCCAAAGTCCAGGAAGAAAATCTGCATCAAGTGCACACTATCATACAGTGACTTCTTGAAAGACTGATAAAAGTAAGTTCCATGCCCCTTTCGTCTCCTTCCTGGAGGCACAGCTATCTTGGCATAAGGCAGAATGCAAATGGACTAAGCCAAGATGTCAGTAGTCACCTCCTGGTCGGTTCCAGACTCCTGCAAGCAGCTGCAGCTACTCATGGTATTCATGAACTTCTACTGTGCTACATCCGCAGCCTTTGTTGCATTCAGGCCACCAAAGAGGCCTTTCAGATCATCAAGTCCTGGTTTACCTCTGCTCCCATCTTTCTGGTCTTGTACCCAATCCTGGTCCAAGTTCAGTTCTGCTCCCATCGTCCCTGAACCCGATCCGAGTCCAAGTTCACTTCTGCTCCCATCATCCCTGTACCCAATCCGACCTGGCAGTTTTTCATGGAGGTTGGATCCGTTCCGATGTGGAAGTCCGGGCCGTTCTATCACAACGTGCTGGGGCCAACCAGAAACTCCACCCTTGTGGCTTCTTCTCTCAGCAACTGCCACCTGCTAAGAGAAAACTGCAGCACACAGCTGCTGGTTCAAAATTTGTTCTGCAAGAGTGACTGGCTCAGGGGGAACCAAGCAAGCATATTTGGTGTAGACATATCACAAGGACCTTGAGTACATCAAGACAGCAAAGAGACTGAACAACCATCAAGACTTTTTATTCCCTGTTTTACGCTCAATTCAATTACTCCCTCTCCTAATGCCCTTGGACCCACCTGGATCCTGTAAAATCATCCTGACACCTTGTCCCTCCAATTCCAGAACGCAGAGAAATCTGCCACCAGATAATCCCATTCTCCATGCCTCCTATGTGGTCGCAACGTTAACCTGGAAGTTTGAGGAGAGTGTGAGGTCTGCCACCAAGGACTTGCCTGGCTTCCTGAAGATGTTTTGTTTGTGCCTCCAACTCTACAGCCAGATGTGCTCCAGCGGGTCCACATCTCGAAGCTTACCTGCCAACCGGAGATCCAGAGAATCTGTGATGTTCTCCTTCTCTGCTGGCTCAACCAATAGGAGGACACATGACTATTTGTTAATGCATACCCGTCCGCAAGCAACACAAACTGTGACACTGGGCCCCTGCTGGCATAATTTTGTTACGAGTCTTCTACTATCCGACAGCAACAAAGCTGTCCTCACGTTTCTCGACTGTTTTTAGTTAAATGGCTCACTTTGTGCCCTTGCTTAAGCTCCCCTTGGCCAAGGCGACACCACCGCTAGATCTTTCGCACCTCTTCTGCCCGTTCATGCAGTTTCAGATGAGGTTACCCGCTTCACATTTTCTCATCAGGGACCTCTGCAGCCTTGTTGTTGAAGCCACCCTCAATCCATCTTCTGGGTTCCATCCCAATTCCAATGACCAAACTCAGATGAAGACAATTTTGTATTTCTGTTGTTTTCCTTGACTCCACCTCAGTTAGTACACCAGTAGTTTCTTTCTTCTTGTAGACATTCCAAGGGCTTAGAGACTGACCGTGCCGACTGCTTTTGGAATAGCTCTGATGTTTTTCCATCTTCATTCAGATTCGCAATTGCTTGTTTTTCCACCCATAAACTTCTCTCAACTCCTCATGTTGGTAAACTCCAAATCTGAAAGCCAGAGAAAACATTCAGCACTATAAATGATTTGAATGAGGATTACAACACACTTGCGCAACTCAACACACCTGTCAGTCACAACACAAGACGAACAATGCTTTTGCTCATATGAAAAATAGTTGAATTTCTTTATCAGATCCAGATGTAAATTCCCGGAGAGAAAAGCTGAATTCATGATCTTGTTTTCATATCCTGCTTTTCAGTCTCTCGCAAAAGCGATGGATTTCAACTAACTCTTCCAAGACTTTTGCAGGGGGGTGAAAGTATGACCTTGAGGGGCACCCGCCACTGTAAACAATGTGAACTGTGGCACAGTGGTGTCCTCATTACAGCAAAACCAAGGCATGTGTGCCACCATGTGCACATGAGCAAAGCCTTCTGCTGCATTCTCTCCCCAGGCAAGCCATTTGTCATTCCTCACACACTGACATACATCGCTGCTTACCACACGTAATGTTTCCCACAGTAATCAAACACATATTGCCTTATGGTGACTGCAACCACAACATGGATGTGAATCTTACCAAATACCAGAAGGACAGAAGGTCATTTTTGCAGGGTGAAGAAATGCTTTGTCATTTCCCTCGGATGAAGCAATTTGGATGTTCGATCACGAGGATATTCATAAAACAACACCGACCTGCACACAGAGACTTTTATGACTAAGGGCCTGGTAATAAAATTGATTCTCTAGACAGGCACATCAACTCAAGGTTAAAAAAAAAAAAGGTATAATTAATGAGATTAATTCGCGGGCTCCGACGACATTTGAATCAGAAAATCGATTTTAATTCAGCCGAAACGAGTTGAATGATAATGGAGTGTTCTTACGTATCGAGATATGTATTAAATTATCTTATATGAAAGATGCACACAATATATAAATTGGTATAAGTAGGTTTGTCTGCAATTTGGTGTTCATCAACTTGTGGCTGATGTGCTTCCCCCCCCCCCGCCCCCCATCAAAAAAAAAAAAAAGAAAAAACATTAAGTCACTGCCATGCACATAAAGTGAGCAAACATACTGTCGGTTGAGCATGCTAACTGTAACTTACTAACACGGTAAGCTGTCCACTGTAGTAACCGCTAGTTAAGTTTTCCTTGCCTTTTCCCAAAAAATTAAATTTTCCTGTATTCCCCTGCTACATTATCAAGACTTTATGATGCAGTGTGTTCATTTACAATATTTCCAGGAAAGGTTTGGACGAATGATTGATCATTTGCAGCATGGAGTAAAATTTCTAGTTTAATAAATTTATCTGGAATCAAATTACATCACTAGATAATGTGCGTGGCCATAGAAAGTAATCATTTAAGCTGTGACTGCTGACTGCAAAACCACGAGTTGCCCTGCATCCGGAACAAGATGCATATCCCTGCAGCCAGGACCACCAAGATGCTTATTAGCCTTATGGGATGACAGAGCTGTCCAAGCAAAATAGAACAGTTCCTACAGAAAGAGGCCATTTATGAGGACATTTCAAATAGAATAATGAATTTAGTCACGGCTTTGGTTGCTTTGCTAAAAATACATGAAAGTATGCCATGTTGACACTGATTATATTACTGATTAGCTCCCGCATCTGTCTCCCCCACTGATTTCACAAATCCGTCTTTTTATTCTGTGTTTGCAAGGGACAACGTCACCCCAAATAAATGTTTATGTGAATGCAAAATGATGCATTTCCCAAAGGTGCATATATGGCTGTTGAATTAGGAATGAATGCAATGTTGACATACTCACCGCTTGTGCAGCATCCAAAGTTCATAGCAGGTGCAGAATTTTAATCTATTCATTTCTAGGGTCCATATCATGCTGTTTTAAGCTTTCCACAGTTAACGAGAAGTATATATGATTATATATTACCTGTGGCACAATGGCGATTCAATTTCTTATGAAATATGAATTTTGGTAGCTGCTTTTCTAACCCGGAAATAAGATGCCAGGCTCACTTTAACCCAGCCTCTCCCTGTGTGGCTGCCACATCGCTTTGATGACATTGTCCTAAAGCCGACTCCTGCGCACTCCACCCACGAAAAAGTAAAGTAATAATGATGGAAGAACATTGTTTGAGCCTTATGTCCTCCATCCAGAGTCAAGTGACAATCTTTATCCAGCGGTGAGGTTCTGTTCAGCATTGATGTTCTTCTATTCATCCATGCACATGGTAATGGCGTGACAATTTTTTTTCCACAACAAAATACGTCTGACATACAGTGCTTGACAACTGAGCAAATGTGCATTGATGTAAATATTATGTCATCATTTAGCTAGCGCTTAACCCTTTCAGGGACAGCGGTTACTGCAGTGGACAAGTTATCATGTTATCAGGTTACAGGGTGCATGAAAGGGTTAATTTACTTACAGTTCTGACCTTTCCAGGAGGTTTAGTCTCCCGGCCAATCCACTTTGGACTCGCCAAGGTACACCAGGTAGTCCTCTGAGAAATGACGATCATTGAAAAACAGCAACTGAATTGTCTCTCACCAGGGAGGCCGGTGCCTCAGCGGAGGTGGCCGCTCACAGCGTCTCTTTCCCAGATACGCCCGTAGGGCATCTAACTGGCTGCTCGAGAAAGTGTGTGTGTGTGTGTGTGTGTGTGTGTGTGTGTGTGTGTGTGTGTGTGTGTGTGTGTGTGTGTGTGTGTGTGTGTTTTGTCTGATTTTCACCACACTGAGAGCACTTGGATGTTAAGTTTGAATGCATGTAACTCCAAAGTCTTTGAAATAACATGAGGTGTGCCGCAGGGATCAATCTTTGGCCCAGTATTTTTAAATTTGCATATGCTCCCTCTTGGTGTCATCAGGATGCATAGCATGAACTTCCAAAATTACCCAGATTATATGCAGCTGCATATAATCTGTATATCATCTGTACATGTATGGCTCTTTTGATGACACCAGTCTGTTGCATGCACTTTTAAACTCATTTTGCACAGAAAATTGTGGATGGCAGAAAACTTTCTACAGCTAAACAAAGACAAAAGTTGTAGTCATCGGTTATAGGTTCAAATAAATTACAAGCACGATCTTTAAATCTTAATCACATTGAAGTTATTTAAGACTCTGAGACAACTTTTATTCCACACATTATAAATATAATCCACAATGGGACTTTATCATCCATTAGCATTGCTTTTTTTAAAAATCCCGCAGGGAGAACATGCAAACTCCACACAGGAAAGTCCCGGGCTAATTAGTCACCCTTCAATAAAACATTCAGAATTAAATTTGCAATTCGAGGGACCAGCATATCTGTACAACAGATCAACCATCCTATCATTGACTGAGTTATGCGAGTAACAAAAACAAACCCAATCCCACATTGGAGCTTGCTGGAAGCAGAATGGATGGAAAACATTCAGGATTGCACAATATTTTTGTAGCAAAGGTCAGAATATCCGAGCATTTGGCATGATCACAAAGATAAAAGCAACCAGCTGCCCTTTCAATCATTTTGATGTGGCCATGTGTTCAAGAATGATCCTGTTCAGCCCTTCCTTTTGATAAAGGCACTTTTAATCATGCGATTATTTTGACATTCACTTTGGCTATGTTGACACTGCGGGTTAATTCAGATTTTTTTCTCATGCAATGTAAACCGTAAAATTCTTTTCTTTTTTTTCCCCAAATATGACCCATACGGAAGAGAATTAGAATTCTGAGATCAAAGTGAGAATTTTGCCAAACTTGTTTTTTTTCTGACTTTATTCTCAGAATTCTGATATGACTATATTGTCAAGTCAGAATTCTGAGAATAAAGTCAGTATTCTCATTTTAAAGTCAGAATTTTGAGAATGAAGTCAGAATTCGCTAAAAGTGAGAATCTTGACAGTCTTGTTTTTTTTTCTGACTTTATTCTCAGAATTCTGACTTTAATGTCAGAATTCTCATATTGAAGTCAGAGAATCTTGCCAACATTGTTGTTTTTTTTCTTCATTGGCCCCAAATGAACAAACACAATGCACTGTTTAGTCACCCTCTGCTCCTCCAAAAATGAAACGATGTCCTCCGACACTCTCAGCCATGCAAAAAATTGCAAGGTGACGACGTTATGTCCTCTGCTCAAAGCCACACCACATGCTGACATTTCCCCCCCCCCAACACACACACACACAATTCATAGCTCCACGTATGTCACAAAGTCAGAAGTCAGAATTCTGACTTCCATGTCAGATTCTAACTTTCATGTCAGAATTCTGACTTTAATGATGAGATTTTTTTGTTTCGTGATTTTTCTTCCTTTTGAGGTATTCAAAGTGCTTTCACACTGTCTTTTCATTCCACCAAGTGATGGCAGAGGTATCAGGAGCAACTGCAGGTTCAGTGTCTTGCTCAATGATAACTTTGACGAGGCTGAGAATTCATAATTCTCAATTTATTTGAACTCGTTGTTCCAATAATGTTTCATGTTCTGTTTGTTTTACACTGCTCCTTCAAATTGAATGTAGCCTAATGGGGCCAGACGTTTCTTCCTTCATCAGGATGTACTGCAGCGTAGCTGAGTGTGAACTGCAATTTTCATCTTCCTGACAGATATGCACACACCAACAACAATATTATGCATTTTGACACTGGCAACAACCTGTTCTGTGTGCCTGGCATTTCGTAGAGAGGAAATTTATGTACCTGATGCCAACAAACAATATGTATACAAAATAGTTACAAAAAAATTTTTTTTTACTTGATTACAAATTATGTATTTTTGCCAACTCAAATGATAATACTGTAGGCTAATTTATGTAACCCACAAAAAAGTATGAACAATCAAGCTCATTAAAAAAGTACATTAATTTGACCAATTAATACTGTACACTCTCAAAGAACCAAATCAGATATAATGTACAGCTAATTTTACTGGCGAGCATTAGATTAAGGGTCTCAAACTCGATTTACCTGGGGGCCGCTGGAGCTAGCGTCTGGGTGAGGCTGGGCCGCATCAGGTTTTCCAAAAACAATGCATTTATTCAAAACATATTTTTAATTTTTTTTTTTCATAGTCTTCTATGCTTTTGCTTTTGTAGCACTAGCAAAGGCAGCAGCGGCGGGATGTTTATATCCATGGTTTACACGTGTATTCAAGCTGGTGCTGGGCACCTTGGGCACAGTCACTTTGCCGCTATAGTGCGGGTGCTCGAAGCTGTCAGCCTTCGAAAAAGACAGACCTAACTATTTAGCATGGAGGTGGTGCTAACACAGTCAGCACCCATATTGAACGAACATTAAATGTTCATATCAAGGCGGGGGCCTCAAACTAGCGGGGTACGGGCCGCATTTGGCCCCCGGGCCGCGGGTTTGAGACCAACGTGTTAGGTAGTGGAGCTCTAATGTAACTCTTTGTCTGAGCATCCACTGTGCTTCCCCCAACATCATTCGTTCTGGTTAACTGCAT